ATCTATGGAATTGGAATTTTACCTGATATATAGAATGAATTAGATGAATATAATTTTATGTTTTGATGAAATATTACTATAAATTTTATATTATATAATGAATTTTTATAACTTTGACTCATGCCTTAGCATACAGCTTGTTTATATTGTATCTGGTTTACTGTTATCAATTGTTGTATTGGAATATTGTCTTATCTCACATAATTTTGTCAATTTTATTAATGAAGTGAACCAGAATTAGAATTTTGATATTTATTGTATCCGATGTAAATTTGTTTATGTATGTCCGCTTTATGCTTTATAATTGTTTGCATGTATGTTTGTTTTGTTTTTGACATGTTTCAATTAATTATTGTAACTTAAATTTTGATCTTGTGACTCATTCTATATCCTATGGCTTGTATTATGCCTGTATCAGGATCAATTAGAAAGTGAAATAAATGAATGAATGAATGAATGAATGAAAATGTCAAGATGTTAAAAGAGTTTCTTAATATATACTAAAAGTGTTAAAGAAATTATATTTTTACTTTTGATGATTTTGTTTGTTCCTAGAGTGAATGGTATGAGTAGAGTATAGAATTACCACTGTTGAAGCTTCATCCCTGTAGAGAAACTTCTTCATTCAGACTATAGGTTCATGTAATTTGTTCTCCAAAATGTTAAAAAATGGAATTATTACAGTAAAGAGATGCTGAAATAACTTTTCATGGAAATGGCTACAGTATAAGCAGAGTATCTGTTGATGATTTATGTCAATGCTTTTACTATCAAAATATCTTACTGTGTACAATGCGGTTCAAACAGAATTTCAGTCCCTGGAAATGTGCAACTTTATAGGGACTTAGGCAGTTTGACTGTGTGGCTTCAGAAAAGTCCAGAGGTATAAGGTATTTTCTGTGAGTTCAAAGGATGTGGAAATTGAAAGGTGCATTTAATATTGTATATGTTTCAAGATGTTTTTAAATAGGAAGGGATTTCACGGGGAAGAATTATGTGCTGAGAATTAACTGTTACTATGGATTTCTGATTCTGTTAAAAAGTACATAATTTTTTTTTGTCCAGTAAGATAATTTATGGAACCCACAAACTTCAAATTACCAGCCAGTGATACAAGGTGTGGCAATAAAGAAACCGGATTCATGCTCTAACCCTTTATTAAAAAAAAATCAGACAGTCGAAATGTTATCCCCTTCAATGTAGTCCCCTCCCCGATCCCTACACCGCTCCATGCGAATTTTCCACTGTTGGAAGCAGTGCTGCAGGTCATCTTGTGTTATGCTCTTCAAGAGTTGCGTCGCTTTTGCTTTCACTGCATCCACGGACTCGAACCTGGTCCCTTTCAGCGCAGACTTGATTTTTGGGAAGAGAAAAAAGTCGCACGGTGCTAGGTCCGGAGAATACGGTGGATGTTCCATCACTGGAATGTTGTTTTTTGCCAAATACCTCTTCACAGATAGCGCGTTGTGTGCTGGCGCGTTGTCGTGATGAAGAACCCATGAGGCATTCTTCCACATGTCTGGTCTCCTTCGTCGCACACGTTCACGGAGGTACGTCAAAACATTTTTATAATAAACCTGATTGACAGTCTGACCTTCAGGCACCCAATCAATGTAGATTACCCCCCGGATATCGAAAAAAACAATCATCATTGCTTTGAATTTGGACTTGCTCATGCGCGCTTTCTTCTTCCTAGGGGATTTGGGGCTCTTCCAATGCATGGATTGTCGCTTAGTCTCTGGATCATATTGAAGAATCCAAGTTTCGTCACACGTAATTACGTTTTGGAAGAAATCAGGATCATTTTCAATGTTTTCAAGAGTGTCAACACAGCAATTCACTCGATGTTCCTTTTGCTGGGGGGTAAGGATTTTTGGCACCACTTTAGCACACACCTTTTTCATGCCCAGATCGTCGTGCAAAATCTGTCTAACACTTTCCTTATTGATGTTCGTAAGTTCAGAAATTGCTCGAATGCTCAGTCGACGATCTCTTCGAACAATTCTAGCGACCTTCTCCACATTCTCTGGAGTTTTCGCAGTGGGAGGACGGCCCGATTTTGGATCGTTCCCGACGTTTTTCCTACCCTCCATAAACTTCTTAAACCACTCGAAAACTTGCGTGCGAGATAGACACTGATCACCATATACTTCTGTCAACAAATTGTAAGTTTCAGTGGCAGATTTTCCAAGTTTTGTGAGGAATTTGATGTTAGCACGTTGTTCTGCATTAGCACTCAGCATTATTCCGACGGAGCTCAGAAACACGATCCGCTTCTAACAATGGTCGCGGCCAGACTAACCGATGCACGTGAATGAAACTTTGTGTGACGGTAGAGGGAAGTCCAAGGGTCAATGCCCTACCCTCCTCTTCGTCAATGACGTGGCCGGAAATGAGTCATAAAAGTAATCCGGGTTCTTTATTGCCACACCTTGTATATATTCTTCTGGTTTTTAGTTCTTTGTGTTGGCAATAAGGATATGCCAGAAGCATCTACAGTGGAATGCCATTTAAGATTTCTTTAGGGAGCAGTGAAGGACATTTAACATTATTGACTTGGGATTAATGAAATTTACATAAAATGAAAGAAAATTTTAAAATGACAGACATTAAATGGGGATTCTACTGTATAAGATTCTGTTGTGTGCCTTAGGATGGTTTGCCATTTAGTTACAGGAGTTCAGCATGAGACCTGTGTCACTCCTCACAGCATTTATAAATTTTGTTAATCGCGAACTGATGTAAGTTCATATATAGGAGTGAAAGTACTATATTTTTTGTTTCTCCTTGTATAAACTGTCCTGATACATTCGAACACTTATATTTGTGCCTTAATGTAAATCAGTATCAGGCTGAAAAACTAACCTAAGAACTTAGCAAGCACACAGCTGCAGTATACACTCCTAAGCACATTTTTCTTTCTGTAGTACCTACTATATCTGTGTGTGTGTGTGTGTGTGTGAGAGAGAGAGAGCGTGCATGCATGTGGGGTGTGTGTGTGTGTTTTCTTTTTTACAGGCTTGGCATAATTTGTATTCTCCTTCAGAACATGTGATTTTAAGTGTTAATTAATTTACTTGTTTTACTGTCCCTTAGGAAGTTCTTCAGTACAAAATTGATTCCCAGGTGGCTCTCTATGTTGTTGCTGTATTGGAATACATCTCAGCTGATATTCTGAAGGTAACATTTTTTCCTCACTGGCGTATAAAGAAAGTAACAATATTTTAGCTGATAATTTCAGTCTGAGTAATCCATATCTGAGCGTTTCTCACAGACTCACCTGTACTGTGCCTAGATATTTTATGTTGGATATAATTTGATTTCTTGTGAATACTAAACTTCTTAGTTTCAACAAGATCAAGGTTTAGTAAATGATGCTCTTTATTAGTGTGATTTGACCGATATGGTCACCCTTTTGAAGTCTGACCCCACAGCCATGTCATTTGAGAAGACAGCATTGAAGCAGAGGAAAGCTTATGAGGGCAAAGTATAGCAAGGACAACATCCCTGGCACATTTAAGGTATCAGAAGATGTCTGACAGGAACCTTGAAAATTAAATGACAGGGCTATGTTGAAGTTATGACAGGCCCAACAAGCTGATAGTGAATTTCGACATCACTTTTGACAGTCTGCCTAGTCTCGTAGAACCCCTGATGATGTGTTGTATACAGACTAGCAGTATGAAATATTTAAGAATTAAAAAATTAATGTAATTACAGTAAATTAATCGGGAAGAACAGAGGATGTAAATGAATATGTGGAAAAGAGAAAGATGAGTGAAACAAAATGGAAAAGTAAAGAGTGCAAAATGTTTAGTATAGGAAATGAAGTGTGATGGAGTGATGAAAAAAGAAAGGGAATAGCAGTAATAAGAGCCAAAACACCCATAAATAAAATGTTATGTGTGAATACTGGAGTGATAAAAATTTTAAATTTTATTGTATGAGAACTAATCGATGTTATTTGGATATACACACATTGAGCAGGCTATGATGACACAAAACACAAAATCAATAGAAGCCCAGCAGAAGTGGTGAAACATGATGAAAGTGTAACTATAAGGGATTTCAGTGCTTAGATATGAAGTGTCAGGATAAGGTATGAAGAGGTGATGGGGCTCTTTTGAGAGAGAAACACAAATAATGAAGGGAGAGAACAGTTAGGTGTGTGTAACAAATGGGTGGACTGCGGTTAATACATTGATTGAAAAGTGATTACGTCATAAAATAACAAGATATAGTTAGGATGGAAAATGGAATTGTTTATATAAATATATGAATATGACAAAGGATTTGAAACACTTAAGAAATATTAAGGTGATACCAAGTGTTTTTGGCAGCAACAAAAGATCTGTGGTAGCAGATTTTAAAAATGTTAAGGTAATGGAAGCAGTGGCAGGGATAGCATCAGACATCGAGATATTTAAATTACAAAATAGGAATATTAGAGAAGAATACCAATGTAAGATAAACTAAAAATACCGAAGAGTAAAATGGGCCACTGGGAGATGAAGATGTTAAAAAATATGTTGTTAGTCATACATCTTTTTAGGAATGGCCACCATTCTTATGGCAGCACTGTTACCACGTGCTTATGCTACTGCTCAGCTGACATGCATGAAGTATAGCACAGGACACTAATGGAGAGATGAAATGACATTACATGGGCACCAAATTAAAAAAATTGTAGAAGAAAAATTTCGTAGGATTTCTTACAGTGTCTAAAAAGTGATTTGTTCATTTGGACATCTATATAAATAAAAACGTAACTGTTGGTTTGTCTCTGGTCGAAGATTTCCGAAAGTTCTTCACCGATTGCTTCGAAATTTTGACAGAGCGTTGCATTCGAATACGCGCGTGTTTTTATATACCTATTATATAGATTTCACGCCTGTGACAGGTAAAAACAGGTAAAAAACATGTCACATGTTCGGAATCCAGGAGTCGTTTCCATAGCAATGCTAGAACAGACCGTTCCATAGGTTCCGTTGTGTAACAACGGATGAAACCAGAAAGTATACTTCCATGGAAATGCAATAACAGTGGGCCATTGCATAGGAATTGAGGTTCTGTTGCGTAACGACGGATAAAACGAAACACTCTGCAAGGTGTTCTGTGCTAGCATTTCCTAAGCAACAGATAAAACCAACTCTTCGATTAGGTATTCCCTATCCCATCCGACCGCTGGCTGTATGTATAAGAGAGTGTAGCTCCGGTGACTGTTCAGTATCACGAGTCTGGAATAACCGCCGAGGAAGTGAGTCTGGAGTATAGTTTATTTTTCATTGTTTTTCATTTCATTTTCTTCAGTGTTTCATCAGTGCAATCGATCTGCTTTAGTTCATCCAAATAATGCCTCGCAGAAGATCAAACTTAGGTCGTCATACTCGCGGAGTGGAAGCAATGTGTCGAGTAATTTCAAATCAAACTGGGGAAGAACAGGCAGACTGAGGCACAGCTAGTGATAAATAAATGTAACCATATAACATAAAATGCATTTTTCAGCTCTCATAATTTGTGAAAGAATCCTTATAAGATGGTACTGAATGAATGACATTTTGGAGATCAGCGTGACATAGTTAAAAAAGTGACTTATTAAAATGAAAATAAGTGTTGTCATATCCATATTTGCCATCTAATGTAAATGTTATGAGAATGTTTTGTCTTTTACAGTTGGCAGGAAATTATGTGAAAAACATCCGTCATGTGGAAATTACATGCCAGGATATCCGTGTTGCCATGTGTGCAGACAAGGTAAGTAAGAATACCACTTTCCAGTATTGCATCAGATTATAGTTTACAGTTTTTAAATTAAATTTGTATCATCATGATATCTGCATTAAATACTGATTGATGCTGTAGTTAATTTAGACAGATAGATGGTACAGAATGTGTGCATCTTGTGACTGAATAAAACATCTAGATTAGGGACTCCTGTAAGTCTTATGAGACAGTGTTTTGAGATGATTTGTAGAGGTGGAGAGAATTAGACCAGTAATGAAACTGCACTGGAAAAAAACGGATCTGTTCTTTTTTTGCATTGCCCAAGTAGTTTTTGAGCAAATGAGTAACTGAATATATTTAGATATTTTTAGTAGCAGCACCCTGTTAGCGTCATTGTGTCTCTCAATATATCCATCTGCATGTTTGTTCTGGCAAAATGGATTGTGATTAAATTTGGCATTTGCAAGTATAACCCTTACTAAGATTTATTAATACAATTTACGTTTGCTGCAAGTTGGACAGTATGGACTATCACATTGCCTGAACTCCTAAATACATTTTAGATGGAATAAAACCTTTACTTTACAGTGTGTAAGGATTTCCAAAAATGAGTGCAGAATTGAGAAAAGTGTATGGCTGAGGAAGTGATTTCTAAACACAGAAAAAATTCTATATTCTTGTTGTAATACAAGAATATTGTCTAGTTTACTGATAAATTTTTTGTAAAGTGTGTAGATGCATGCGTGTCCACACACCTATGCATGTTCAGAGACATGCCATCATTGATGACTCCTGCATACAAATCAGAGTATATCATCTTCTATCAAACTGAGTATAAAATTAATTAGAAGTAGAAATGTATCTGACTGGAAAACGGCCCAGCACTAGATGAATAGCACAATAAAAGAACTGTAAATGTTGTATCAAAAAGTCTTCAGGAAACACGCTGCATGTGGGCCAGTAAGAATCTTGAAATGACATTGAAGAAAGAACTAAAACTGGAGAGTTAAATGTAATCAAGTGATCTTGTTCACCCATATCTCATGAAGGAATGTCACAACATTGCATGCATTAGGGTGAACTTATCTATAGGGCAGGTTTGCTCATGACACATGCAAAAGAAATATCAAAATATAAGATTTAGTGGGAATACAGGAGGTCGGACAGGACAGAGGTGGCATGAACCAGCAGGTGAATATACGTTTTTCTGTGGAAAGGGGAATGAGAATTGTGAATTAGGTACAGTTTTTTTTTTTGTACATAAGAGAATCATATCAGCAGTTAGGAGGGTAGAGTTTCTTAGTGATAGGATGTCGTTCAATATAGTAAGAAGGGGCTGGTGTGATAAAATTGATGATATGAAGGACAGCTTATATGAGAAAATAGAACGTATTCGATAAATTTCCTAAATACCATACGAAAATATTGTTAGGAGATTTCAGTACCAAAGTAGGTAGGGGACATTTTCAAACCAACAATTGGAAATAAGAGTTTCTCATGAAATTAGTAACGTTAGTACATGTGTTTTGCGTTATTTGATAAAATAAATGTTGCATTTTCTGTATTCATTTTCAATTTTGCTGTACTCTGAGTAGAAAATTGTTGATGTGTCTCACCATGTAGTCAGTTTTTTGACATTTTGGTTGGTTATTTATTTCAACCAGTCAGATATCTTGTCATCTGCAGTATCTTTCCTTCACCTTTGAAACTGTTAAGCTCACACAAATACATATTTTCTCTTTGTGCCCTTACCAGAAACTTCTTGTAACATTTTGTGAGTGACAGTGGTATACTTTTCTCAGTTTTACACAATATTTAATATAAATTCTGTGTTCTAACAATTTGATAACACATATTAAAAAAAAAAAAATAATTGCAGCTATGTAACAGACTTAATCCCAGTGACTCTCTGAAACAAAACTGATGAAAGCTGTAATTAGATGATCAAATATAGTGTCATGTGTATTAATGACTATAGATTGGGTTTTGTATTGAATTATTGGATTTATTGACACCTTATACATAGTACTCAGAACTGCAAGCAATTACAGTGCTGTCGCTGATTTACACACTTTATGGTTCACTGTTAAACACACTAGGATTCTCAGGCTTCACTAGTAATTTCCTGGCAATGGATTTATAACTGTCTCTTTGAAATTTCAAATCACATGAAGTCTTCTTTGCACAGTCTAATTCATTTCTTGCCATTTCTTCAAAATCACCTTTCCTGCCATCTCCATGGCTCGACCCAACAACAACTTCCCAAACGACCTTCTTTGTCCCTTTATAACCCCTGGGCACAGACCACACAGAAAGCACAGCCACGCTTTTGTGGGAATGTTTTTACCTAGTTGTTGGCTAGCACTGGGGTTGTATGTCACAATGTGAACTTACCATTGTCAGTTACTGCATGAAAACTTCTGTCTGGTTATTTAATTGTGAATCTCATATTTTCCAAACAGTGTGGTTATGTACCATAATTAGTCTTTTTTAATTTTATGGTTTATTACAAATTAGTATTTATATCGTTCTCATACCCATGTAATTAAAGTAGACAGAAATCAGAAGTACAGAACACATAGTTTTGAATAAATTATTTTTTAAAATAGGGTGTTGTTGATTCCATTAATTTGTCTTTACTTGCAGAAATATGTGATTAATGTTACTTGGAAGTGAGAGGTTGTATTGAGAGAGTTCCGTTTTAAAATCCTTATAATTTCTTTAAAATATTTTGACAATTTTTAACAAGGATAATGTTTTCCAGTACTGCAATTATTACTGTTGTTTTATAATGCTTAATTGCTCTTTCGTAAATTAAGATTGCTGAGAATGTTGTTTGAACGTTTTGATAGGCTAGATAATTCAGTACCTTTAAATGTATATTGCTGGGAGAGACAAGCTTATGAATCATACTGGATGACATGATCAGTTGTTTCATGCATGAATTACATTTTGTGCGTTAAGTGAATCTGTATTAGTTCCCATTTACATGTTTCACATCCGAAACCATTTTCAGATGTTTGACTGGAATTATATATGGGAGATCTACATTAACTTTTGCAGTTCTAAACAAGGAGAATACCCTATCATGAATTTCATAGTGCTTTGTCTGTAATGTCCTTCACACATATTTAGGCTCTGATTTATTTGTCTAAAAGCGGCCTCCGTGGTCTAGAGGTAACGTTCCCACCTCATGACTCGTAGTACGTGGGTTCAAATACGTGGCGGAGGTCGTCGAATTTTTAAGGGTGGAAAAATTCAGGGAACAAGTCCTCCGGGAGGGACTTTAAGCTGTGGGTCCCGTGTCGTAGCTTTACGCCACGTAAAAGAACCTCATATGTCCAAAGGAGGTCACTGAGCCAAATTAACGGATGTTTCCTGCCCAACAGCAGTCTCTAATACCTCTGGTAGATGGGGGAAGCATTATAGATACCTCTCAGCTAGTAGAGCCGGTCTCGCTGGCTGGGCGGGACTGATGGTAAGCACCAGTACCGGTAGGATATAGAGACTGGTAGAAATCATAGAGGGAAGCACAATGGACCAATACAGGTCTAAGTGCATGGGGAAACCCACCCTCTCCAATAACTAACTAACTATTTGTCTAAAAAATTAATTTATTCATTTCTAATCTGCTTTCATGTTATGGTTTTGCAGGTTATAAAATGAAAATGTAATTGTGATGTTGGCAGCTGAAATGTCCTATGCTGAGGCATATAGCATTTCTCCATTAGACACTTTTCATGTGTATGTTTTTGTTACATAGTACTTATTATTTACCAGACAGGTTGGCGTAGATGTAAGGGTTTAGATTTATATTCATGAGAGTCTTGCTTTAAATTTCTGTTGTGGTCACTGGCTGTCCCGACTGAAGTTTTTTTCCTTTTCCTCATTCCCTCTGTGCAAATGCCAGAATATTTACTCAGAAGATAACAAATTTGCAGTATTACTTCATTATGATCCTGAAATTGATGATGAAAATGATGAAGTAGATTTATATGACCTGCTACTGAAACAAAGCCTGGAAGAGTATGGTGAAGATAATATTTCATTGAAGGACTGTGCAGGCTTTATACCTAGACTTTCACATTCACAATCTAAGACAAGTGATAGTGAGGTTTCAGACAACCACATTGCATCTGAAAATAGATATTTTTACAGATGTCACAATATAATGAACAGTTTCTCCTGGATGAAAATGACATAGCAGATGGTTCATGAAATTATTCATTGTGTTTCTTTTGTTTATGCCTCCAGAAATGTGGAATATTACATATCATGAAATGAACATAGAAGCTTTCAGAGGTATTTATGTAAGAAACTGAGGGTGGTGAAAGAGTTCAACTGGGCTTTATTTTTTTTTGCAAAAAGAATGTACATTCCAGTATTGCCAAACTCTTGCACATTTCCATGATACTCCTGTTAGCCTAACACATTTTGTCCATCTTCCTGGCAAGTTATTATTATTATGATTATTATTATTATTGGAGGGGGTGGGTTTCCCCGTGCACTGCGACTAATAGTCTATTGTACGTCCCCCTTTAATATTCTACCTGTCGCCATACCCTTCCGGTATTGGTGCTTGCTATCAGCCCCGTTCAGCCAGCGAGGCTGGCAGTGGTACCCGATACTTCCCCCATCTTCCAGAGGCATTGGAAACTACTTGGGTGGGAAACTTTGCCTAATTTTGCTCAGAGGTTTCCTAGAGACATGCTGATCTTTTACATGCCGTAAATCTATGACACGGGACCCACGGCTTAAAGTCCCTCCCGGAGGACTTGTTCCCTGAAATTTTCAGCCCTTAAAAATTCCACGACCTCCGCCGGGTTTGAACCCACGTACCTAGAGTCATGAGGTGGGAACGTTACTCCTAGACTACGGAGGCTGCTATCGTGGCAAGTTATGGATGCCAGCAGCATAAAATGTTTTTATCTTGATTGCATAGCCCTTTCAGGACACTGCATTTGAGTACATCATCGGTTTGAAATTTCTGTCATCCTAGGTGCACCTTCATTGGTCCAAAGAAATGAAAG